CCAATACAGCAACAGGCAGGCACATTTTCTGTGATTTCTGTTATTCTTAGTTGCTCTTATTATCTTTTTTATTTCAGATGGAGGGAATACAGATAGTCCTCAACCTACAACCACAACTGGGTCCAACATTTTTGTTGTTAAGTGAGATACTATTATATCTTTTCTTGCCACAGTTGTTAAGTGAATCATATGCAGTTGATGGGTTAGCAACCTGATTGTTTAAGGAATCTGGTTTTTCCATTGACTCTGCTTGTCAGAAGGACATAAGAGGTGATCACATGACACAACAAAGGTCATCAATATGAGTCTACTGCCAAGCATCTGTATTTCCATATTATATTCTGGGCTTTCTAGATTTTTTAAAGTTAAATCAGAGATTTATTATTCTTTTTAAAAATTATTCTTTTTTAAAAAATATACGTGCTAGATAAAAGAATGGCAACATCCATGGATATCTATAGATTGCAGGAGCAAGAATGAATTCTAACTCTATCATATGCTTATAAGTACCCAAAGGTATAAAAGTTGACCACAATTAGAAATCAAATATTGAACTAACATGGCCATTTATATTTATGCTCTGCTATGTGCTGGTATAATGTATTTATATATGAATGGAAATAGTATTTCAAAAGAATGTTTTAATTTCAGATTAGTAAATCATCCTATCCAGAATACATTATTTCATAATTGATGGCAGTCCCTCTTTGCTATAATGAAGTCTGACATTTTTCAGGCTTGAACATAACCCTGATTAAAAGGATGCCACTTAGTTAAGGAATCTTATAGTTAATGATACTCTTAATGTAGTGCCATCTTTTCTTAGGTGTTTGCACTAATGTAGGGCTATTTAAATAATTAGCATGAAGAAGAAATATTTACACAGAGTCCAAAGTAAATTTTGGAAGTCTATTATGCATATTATTAAAAGTTAACAAACTATCTTCTAGGACCTAAAAGACTTCACATTACAATGTCATTAACTTTGTAGACCACGGAGGAAGTAGATTGTAGACAACAAAAGTATGCAATTATAAATCAATTAGTCTAGAAGGTGCTACAAGAACCTTGTTTTTACAGCAGTAGACAAACTCAATTTCACCTCTAGTACTACTTAGAAAAATGCAGTTCTAGCAAGCTTTATTTTTAAAAAAACTGTTAATTACTAGTAAAGTTTAAGTCTATTAGAATAGAGGCTTGCTGGAGAAAGAACAGATATACATTCCCAACAAATAATGTTTGAGTAAAGAAAAGTGATATGCAAGATTAATTTCCTTTAAATGAAGTTTTAAATTATGATGTCTTTAAGAATGTTTAAGCTCAATAAACAGAATTCATACAATGGCTATTTTGTCTCCAAGACATATGTTGCTATATGAAATTAGGCTTACTTGCATGATTCTATGTACAGATCTGCTAAACGAAATAAAAATGTTCAGCAAAATATAACAAAAAGTTTACTGAATGAAAAAACAATTTAAAAAGACGAAGATTTTACTTAGGTAATACCAGCCAAAATTTAGCAGTAGGTTATATGTAAATTCTGCTTGTTAGTAAAACAATCAGGAAATGGATTTTGGGTTTCATCTCTATTTAATGGACCGATGATCTTTAAATCTTGATTTCTTCTTCATGGACTAATGGTCTTTAAATCTATGGTTTGTTTGTTAAATACAGTCAATGATGTACAATAACATGAATTCAGAATTTGCAGCCCCCCCCCCAATTGGTCACCTAAATTGAGATTTTATTGTACAGTTAAAAGCTGTAGAAGATGAGAAACTACTTTTTATAGATTTAGTATTGATTCAGTCTGAAAAAGGAATGAAATAGATGATACAAAGAGTACATGGTAATGAAAGATATTATGAAACTGATTCCTGGCACCATTGCAACAATTGCAACAATTCTTACTATGTTACAGAGCCCCTGATTATGAAATCGAACATGTAAACAAGCTAAATACACTACTAACATGGGCAGCATCCTGCCCACATGCTTTTATCTTTCTTGGTGACTTCAATCTACCTCATATTAACTGGTCCCTAAACGAATGTACAACTGAACCCATACATGTAACCTTCTACAATGCTGTAACAAATCTGGGACTGGAACAACTAGTAACCAACAAGACTAGACTTAACAACTGCCTCGATCTCATCTTCTGCAATAGTTTGAATTCAATTTACGGAATACAAATTAAAGAACCCTTTTCCAACAGTGACCTCAACATGATTGACTTTTGTCTCAACATACATCCACACAAAAATCATCACAATGACAAAATCCCCAATTATAACTTCAAAAAAGGCAACTATGATCTTATAATCAATGATCTCTCTTCCCTTGATTGGCAATTTCTATTCACTGGATGCAATACTGATGAAGACCATTACAACATATTCTTACTAGAAATCAAAAGAGCCATCAAACTTTATGTACCAATAACAACTCCCAAAACCAGGAAAAACAGATTACCCATAACAATAAGGAAACTTCAATCCCAAAAGAGATCACTTTGGCAAAAAAACAAAATCTGTTCATGTTGCCAACTTCAAAAGCCGATACAAAAATTTATGCCACCAGATAAAAACTGAATGCACTAATTATCACATTAAACAAGAGGAAAATCTTCTACGCACAAATTCCACCCGTGCTTTCTACAATTTTGTAAACAACAAACTAAAAGACTCAAGGTCCATCCCACCTCTGAAAGGACCTAATGGCAAAGACTGCAACAACAACACCATCAAAGCAAACCTCTTTAACACATTCTTTGGCTCAGTATTTGTAAACAGCAATGGATCAAGCCCAGTCGAACCACAGACAACTACAATGATCTAATACATATCAATTTTACAAAAGACATTGTTGAAAAAGCACTGCGCAATCTAAAACCATTTCTATCTATTGGACCGGACGGAATATGTGCCTACTTCTTAAAAAAGCTATCCATTGCCATAGCCGAACCTCTAAGCATAATCTTTGAAAAATCTTTCAGGACCAGCTCCTGGCCAAAACTATGGTCACAAGCCACAGTCATCCCCATCTTCAAAAAGGGAGAGCACAGCCTAGTTGAAAATTACAGACCAATCTCTTTATGCTGTATCACCTGTAAAGTCATGGAATCAATTATTAACCAATCCATTATCCTCCACTTAGAGACAAACAACCTACTCTCTAATAAACAATTTGGTTTCAGAAAAAAAACTACCCTGTAATCTGCATCTCTTACACTGCAAAAACATATGGACTACACAACTCGATCAGGGCAAAGCAATAGACGCAATCTACATAGACTTCTGTAAAGCCTTTGATTCAGTGGTACATGACAAATTACACCTAAAACTAAAATCTTATGGTATCTCTGGACACCTACCTAACTGGATAGAAGCATTCCTGTCAAACAGACAACAAATGGTCAAAATTGGGAACGTCCTATCAAATTCTGTACCTGTCAACAGTGGTGTCCCCTCAAGGCAGTGTTTTAGGACCAACTCTCTTCATACTCTACATAAATGACCTCTGTGATCATATTAAAAGCAACTGGGTTCTCTTCGCTGATGATGTAAAACTATTCAATACTACAGAAAATACTACTGCCCTCCAAAAAGACATTGGCTATGTATCAGAATAGTCAATCAAATGGCAACTTCAAATCTCAACAAATAAATGCTCTGTCTTACATATTGGCAAAAAAAAAAATCAGAAAATAAAATACAAGATGAATAGTCAAGACCTTGTTGAGGATCCAAACTCTGTCAAGGACCTTGGAGTACTCATCTCTAATGATCTAGGTGCTAGAGCCCACTGTAACTACATAGCTAAAAAAGCATTAAGAGTTGTTAATCTAATCCTATGTAGCTTCTTCTCTGGTAATATCACACTACTAACTAGAGCATACAAAACGTTTGCTAGACCTATACTTGAATACAGCTCATCAGTCTGGAACCCATATCATGTATCTGATATTAACACAATTGAAAAAGTCCAGAAATATTTCACAAAAAGAGTTCTCCACTCCTCTACTCATTGCAGAATACCTTATGCCACCATACTTGAAACTTTAGACCTAGAAAACCTGGAAACGCCGCCTCCGGTCCGATCTAAATATAGTACTGTATATAAAATCATAAATTGCAATGTCCTACCTGCAAATGAATACTTCAGCTTCAATCATAACAATACAAGAGCACACAATAGATACAAACTCAAGGTTAACGTGGCTGCAGAAAATACGACTTCAGCAACAGAGTGGTCAATGTTTGGAATACTCTACCTGACTCTGTGGTTTCTTTCCCAAACCCCAAAAACTTTAACCTTAGACTGGCTACTATTGACTTCACCCCTTTCCTAAGTGGCCTATAGGGGGTGTGCATAAGCATACCAATCTTGCCTCCCGTCCCTGTCCGATTGTTTCTTTTTATTTTTCTTCTAAGTATCTATCTCATGTATTCAAAACTATGTTTATTCTTATACCTGTATCTTGTAAGAGATTGACAAATCAAATAAATACTAAATACTAAAATATAATTCCTTTTCTAGGTTAAAGGATCAATATGCCATTTTTACTTAATATACAAACTTACCACATTCTGATTAGTATATACAGTTACATCTTTCAGTCAGAAAAATTAAACCACCATGCAGACGTTTGGATGGATGAGGCTTCAGCTAAGCATTTCCATTGATTTTTTTTAATAAATTGAGGCAAAACATTATAATAATATGCTGTTATAAAATAAAATTAAAATATTGATTGCTCTGTCTAGCCTACTATATTAAATATTTATGCACAGGAGTTTTGAAATTAAATTTAAAAATACTGTTTTTCCCCTTGCCCCCAAAATTCAAGTTTAAAATTGCTAATAATAAAACTGACTGCTTTTTGAACAGAAATTGGCACTTTTAACATATTGCTCACTTTTACCCATTATTGAAAACACCTTTTTCCTAATCTTGATAAACAGAAGATCCAATAGTACAACAGTTGTACTTACAGGAGGTCCTGTGAAAAGAAAACAGAAGAAAAGAAGAAATACATATAGACACATGAGTTTTTAAAACACTAGCATTGTTTGAAGATTAGTATTATTCTTAGTCAAACAAGATCACTATTACTTATTAAAATTATTTTACAGCATCAGTATAGCATTGAAAATAGTGCTTCAGATTTTATATAACTGTAGTCCCTTTCCATTATTCATTAAAACAGTATAGCTGCTTTAACAGATACATTAATATCAATGAATTAATTCCTTAAAGCAGCTACAGCCTACTTTCAGGGCTGAAAAAAAAATCAGGCAAGGTCTAAACCACTTTAACTCATTTTGAAGTGGCATACTCTTAATACTTATATTCTTCTCAGTTAACATTAACCTACCATCCATCTCCAAGTAAACTCATATTAATTTCTCCCCATAGCATTTAATTTTAGAATAGAATTGGTTGGATCTATATTTTTGCCATCTACTTTTGCCAAGTTGGAGAAGTTCACTAATTGCAGAACCAAACAATTCTTCTTAAATGCCCTATCCTTTTTAATTTCTCTTGTGCAAGATCCCTCTTAAAATATCACATTTTGTGAAGAAACATTGCCACCTTTTCCTAATTTTTTACACATCCTTCTTGAGACTGTCAAACAACATCAAATATTTACTTTAGCTTTATTAAAAGTGATATCAGATGGATGACTTCATTTATTTTTCTTTTTTCTCTTGACTTCAGGTTGCAGACTTTTGCTAATAATGTGATGCTAGTCAGATAAAGTAATTTCTTGATTTTAATTGTTTTAATCTAAAGATATATTTAATAAACAGGATCTTTTTCCTAAGAGAAAACAATTTAGTTCCCTTTATTAATGTCATATCATTAAGCACATAAGACATCTTATTGAAATCCCTTATTAAAACCCCAAAACTTTAATTCATGTGTGATACAACAAGCATGATGTTTTCCTGTTCTTTTCACCTTTGGTCCAACAGTAAGGAATAAATTAATTTTCTGTGTTTTATACATTTTATGTTGATTTGAAAGTTTTTTTTAAGTTAACGTTAATTTATTGAAACATCAAGATAAGGTTAATCCCAACAGAATCATAGTTATCCTGTGTCATGCAGCACTCAGCTGATCCTCTTAGTATTAAACTACATAGCATTTTATGCAAATAAAACTAAGAAGTAAATTAGCATAAGCTGAATTTTCCTTTCTCCTGAAATATTTTTTTTCAGGAGCATGACAATGCCATTCTCAGAACATTCAATCACAGACTTTAATTCATTCACTGATATACAGGGAGTCCTCAACTTATGACCACAATTGGACAGAGGTGGGATTCATCTGGTTTGGACCGGTTCAAGCGAACCGGTAGTTCTGGTGATTAGTTGGCTCCTGCCCTAGTGCGTCCTTTATTTCTGTATTTTGCAGCCCAGCTAATTCATGCGGCACAGCGGATTGCCACGCTTCAGCTGTTTCATTCACCAGGGCTGCAGCAGAAGGTAATTTTTAGAGCCGAAAACGGGTGGATTCTAAACGCTGCGTGTGTGCACAAAGCACAATTTGGTGTGCGCCAAACCGGTTGTCACACCGGTTGAATTCCAGATTGCAAATGGTGATTACAGGGCCCCAAGACAATGAAGCAATCATAAATACATTGCCAATTGCATCAATTTTGATCATGTAACCATGGGGATGCTGTGAGTTATTTGCAAAAATAATAATGGTGGGATGCAAATAAATAAATGAATGCACACAGCAATGCACCAAATCACCGAAGTATGCTAATGTGGGCAATATTCTTTTTTTCTTTAATTCTTGCATGGTCATACTTCATGCATACAATATCATTCCTTGTGCAAAAGAGGCTGCTCACTAATAGGACACCATTTCTGCACCCAAGGAAATCTTGTCTCTTAAAAAAAAATGGAATATGTGCTTTCCAGACAAAATGGAACTTGCTGTGGCCAACTCACAGTGATCAACTTGTTGCTGCCTATTCACCATGGCCATTTTGCCATGGCCAACTGGCCATGGGACAACTCGCCACAGAACAATTCAACAATTCAATTATTTAAAATAATTTTTAATTTTTAATTTTTGTCATTCACATTTCGTTTTATCCCTCCTTTTGCATTCTTCCTTCCTTTCGATATTAGTGTAACTCTTGTCCTACAGCAAGTTGTTTCATGGCAAGTTGACAGATTCCTTTCCAGGCACTTGGAAATTTCATGCTCAAACGGATCAGTTACCTCGGCAAGTGGCAAAAGATTGAAAAGCTATAACCTCAATTATCTATAGGGCAGAAATTGTTCAGGGAGGTCCTGTGTTGTTATCCCTTTTATGTCCTCTAATAATCTCTCATCTCTCATTGAGTATAGTTTTAACAAAGGCAGCCAATACACATCATTAACTTAATATATTAGAAAATAGACCAGAAGTAGTATTTTTATATTATCCAAAGAAAATGCATTACTTTATGTTTAAAAACTTACCAGTCTCTCCTCTTCTTCCTCGCTTACCTCGTTTACCAGGAGGACCTGAAAAGAAAATATTATATAATTGGTAATATTAGAATTCAGTTTTATAATCTCTTTCAGAAACTGCCTGTTAACTGTTTTTCAGCTATTAGACAGCTTTAGATCAATAAGCTTGACACATTGGGGGAGTTTCTTTCAATCCTTAGCAAAAGAAAATGTTAGCTACAAGCTTAGAGAATAAATAAATAGAATAAATAGCAAAGGGGTAGTAAAAACTTTGTTTTTTAGAAAGTTACAAATGTACTAAGGGATAAATTTGAAGTCATATTTTCCCTTGTTGTCCACGGGAAAGCACTTTTGTTTTTAACAGTTTTTTTTTAAAAATCATATAAATTTTAAAAATTTATACTACTAGACACTAGAAGATTACAATTAAAGGAAAAGCACATTAATTTGATTTATACTTACTGAATGAAATAATAGTCCTACAAATAACTGACAGTTTCTAAATAATTAAACATTATCCTCTTGCATTACTTCTCTTTGAGGAGGAGACATTGATTTCCCTTTAACTATTGCCTATTTACATCTCTGTATTCTGTCCTTCTCTTCAGATACATACTATTCTACTTAGCCTGGAATAGTAACTAATTAAGTGAGCAGTGGGAATGCATAAAAACAAAAAAGATTGAGGTTTCTATAAGTATTTTTTGGGAGGTGGGGTTGGAATTCAACATACTTCCATCTGCCACTGGTATATATTACTCTATAGATTAGTCTCAAAGGAGGAAACTAGCCAATTCTAATTTACTGTTGTTTCCTTCCTGACTTATTTGATTTTCCTCTGAAATCATTAACATATGCCAAGATAGCCAATAACAATATAAAGTAAGTGTATATGTAGCAAATACGCAGTATATACTGTATACTGTATATTCTTCATAAACATATATCATCTATGTCTGAATTTTATAGTTTCTGATTCTTCAGTTAAATCAAGATTAATTGGTTTGGAAATCAATTGAAATTCTTTTGCATAAGCCATTTTCTTTATATGGGCAACTCTATCATTTCACAAAATGTGACATTTTCACTTTTAATAAAGTTCCTATCAATATGCTCTAGTTATCAGCTCCTCTAAGGATAACTTGAGATAGGCTCTTTATTCAAATGTAGAAGAATCCCAGGTTTCACATTTATTTCCATAAGCACATTATAACTGTGTCATGGTCCTGCATTAACTCACAAGTAGATTTCTAGCTGCAATTCAGTGTGTTGGTTTTAATCTACAAAACCTTTTATAACTATGCACCTTGGTACCTATAAGTCTGTCTTTTCCTATCAGAAATATTCCTATCAGTAGATTCATCTCAGGAAAACCTTCAGGGGGTCCCCATTTTATAAAGGAGGGGAGGCTGATGCCTACTGGTACTGTTTTTCCACTTTTGTGGAATAGTAGTCTACTTGAAGCTAAATCAGCTTTTTCTAGTTTTCTAGAAGCTGATGGAGATGGAACTCTTATGAAGAGTGTTCTGTGATTAGGTTGGATGACTCACGTCGTCACATGAGGTATTGTGAGTTTTTTTACCTTTGCTAAATTGGGCATGGGTATGGCCACACATGACACAACTGGCCCACAGGCTGCGAGTTTGACAGTCCTGATTTAATATATATGCAAGTATTATTGGTTTTATATTCTGTAAGTCACCTTGAATCACCATGGGTGAATAAGCGGCAATATAAATTCAATAAATAAATAAATAAAAATGTAAGTTGTTATTCTTATTGGTGTGTAGACCAATAATATACCCCCAGTGACATTCAGGGGAATATAAATTTAATTTTTAAATAACACATGTCCTGTATTTCTTTATCATCTATTAAGAAGAGCAGGAGGATCCCCTGAAAAAGGGTGGGAGGATTGGGGCAAGTTATAAAGAACTAGCCTTCTAGAGCTTTATATCAAAAGCCATTATGGTGAAGGAATTGAATATCTGTATCATGCCTACTACAATTAAATTATTTTTTTTGTCAACCTTTGTCAGATAGACCAGACAGAAAACATGACCAAATGAGCTAATTCTATCTCTACTATGTAAGGCTACATTAACAGAAATTTGAATGTACAAATTTCCCATTGTCTTATTACAGCTTGTGAAATTAGGAAAGTTTTTTTTTCTGTGTGTCTTGCTTTGCCCATTATACAGCTGGCTAGGCCATCTCTTATCTATTGCTTTCTCAAGCAATATTTTCTTCCGACACCCCTAAAATTATTCCCACATATCTTTACTCTTTGAAATAGTAATGACTTTAAAAATAGATATCCTAAATTCACAGTATGTAATTGTCTGGTGCATATATTGCTTTCTAAAGTAGGCTCTTAGTTATAGCACATTACAGCATAATAAGCCACTTACTGTTAGTCTAACAGTACACAGTAAAATGATCTCAAAAATAATTTAAAAACTTTTCCATAAGATTATTGGACTTCTTTTCATGGAGAAGATTTTTTATTATGAAATTGCCATTGAAAAAGTACTTTTATGTCAGATTTTTAATAGTAATATTTAGCAGGTAAACAAAACATGAAGCACCAAGCCAGATGTAGCCCCAAATCCTGGGTGAAGTTCTCAGAGACATTTCCAAATTTGTAAAAAAAAAACATGCAGTTGTTAATGTGGTAGAAGAGAAAATTATTATATGTAAGACTGGGAAGTAATTTAATTTTAATTAAAGTGTAAATGTTAATTAATTCCAGTCAAATGTGGGAGCTGAGATTGACTCCACACGCTACCTTTAAGAGTTTAGCTTCAGCCATACATTCAAAAGTCAAATGAGACACTTGCTGTGGAAAAAGTTGTATTGCTTTGATATATGCTACAGCTATATAGATAAATAGATAGATAGTTAATATTTTATATGCCCATGTACCTCTCCATGAGGCCGTTTCTATCGGCCGACGAAAGCTCCCCAAAGGCAGAGTCCCCAGCTGCTTCAGGGCGAAGCATGGCTGCCCGTGTCCCCTCGCCATTAGGCAGTGTCTTTTGGGCGATGGAAGCTCCCCAAGGGAAGTCACCAGCCACTTCAATCGGCCTCGGGGCGAGCACACACACACACTCCCCTTGCCACGAGGCTGCTTCTACCGGCCGATCAAAGTGGCTGGTGACTGCCCTTGGGGAGCTTCCATCACCCGAAAGACACTGCCTAATGACGAGGGGACACGGGCAGCCATGTCTCGCAACAAAGTGGCTGGGGACTCTGCCTTTGGGGAGCTTTCGTTGGCCGATAGAAGCGGCCTCGCGGTGAGGGGAGTGTGCATGGGCGCTCACCCCGAGGCTGCTTCTACCGGCCGATTGAAGTGGCTGGTGACTCTGCCTTCGGGGAGCTTCTATCGGCTGATGTTCTATTGGTAGTAGATCGGGGTATTCTAGCCTAGGCTACCTGCAGGGCACTCCTAAAGGCAAGTTTTCTCCCCACCCCCACCCTTTCCCCCCATTTCTCTTTACCTCGTGTAGTTCTAACAAATAATGTGAGAAATGGTGGGGAAACGCATGGTTTAAATAGGCCTAAATTTTGGGGGTGGGACTTAATTTCACCTCATGCCTAGAAATCATGTTGAGCCTTCCTATTAGTGGAGGCCGTATTGTTGGAGAAACAAGATATATATGTGTGTGTGTGTGTGTGTGTGTGTGTGTGTGTGTGTGTGTGTGTTTGTGTGTTAACTAATAAATACTTCTAAAGCAAAGAAATCCTAATTCTATAGTTTTTCAGCCAAATGTACAATATGTGATGTGAATGATGTGATTAAACAGGAGATTTATGTAATGCTCTTTTATTTATAAAGCTTGAGAACATCCTCAAGCTTCTATAGTTTTTCTATATTAGTGTATCATTTAACAATGTCAGTCCACATATCTAAAAATTCAGAGATAAAAACCAGATATGCAGCATTTTATTTTTGAAGGAAACCATGCTAATAAATGGCTTTGGTGAAAAAAGTACACAACTTACTGAACATTTTATGAGTGATTCCTTAGTTATAAAAATAAGAATTAAATAAAGAAAATGTCCTTCCTCAAAATTATGCCATTTTCGAATCTTATACATCAAGTTATCACCATCAGATTTTCCTGTTGCCTATGCTCCCAGGCCCAGATCCAGTCAGTTGGGAAGCTGTATTCTGAATCCCATAAACTAAAAAAATTCACATTGCAGGACCCAGAAATACATCTACTTGGTTCCCATTCCTGACCTGTGGAATGTTCTCCCCGCAGAGATTTGTGTGTCTCCTCCATTCAGGAAACTTTTGAAGATGTGGTTGTCCTCCCAGGCCTCGCAACCAGAGGAGTTCTTTCTTTTTAGTTTAGTTTTGTTTTGTTTTTAATTTTGTACTGTGCTCGTCTCGTCTGTTGCATTTTTCTTCTAAGTTTGTTTTTAATTGTAAGCCACTGAGAGTCATTTGGGGGTTGTGGACGATATGTATTAAGTAAAATAAATGTAATTAATCATAATATAAAATCTAAATAAATATATTCTGGCTCCATTCTCCCAGTCAGTTGTAGGTATTAGTCTGATATAAGAAAAAGGGAATCCTAGCTGACAACTCTTTTTCATTCCAGCTTAAGACAAGAGCTTTCTCAGAGGCTTCAGAAACTTTAGAAACACATTGAAAGTTTGGGGTAAGCCAGGTTGAGAAAGATAAAATAGTTGCATATTTTAAAAAATTATATCAGCTTTATAGCCCAGACTGGATTCCTGAATCACTGAGATTAAAGAGCTGATGTACTGATTTCTTTAAAGAAAGCTCAGCATAGCAGAGACCAAGGCTACTTCATCATAAATGACTTTATGTCAGTCGCCATCTTTAATTTAATTGACAGGATTGTTGTGGAGAGAAATTGGAAGATTGAGGTCTACATTAGTGGTGGGATTCAAAAAATCTTACTACTAGTTCTGTGGGCATGGCTTGGTGAGCATGGCTTGGTGGGCGTGGTAGGGGAAGGATACTGTAAAATCTCCATTCCCTCCCCACTACTGAAGGAAGGTTTCTGCAAAAT